ATATATCAAAAGCAAGCGCTATCCTGGAGCAGCACAAATTTCCTTCGAAATCCTGCCAGAGCAACTTCACCAATGGAGGAGATGGGAAATCAACCAAAACACTGATGGTTGTCACGTGGTAACCCAACCCGCATTTCCTGTTGCTACGCCCCGTTGCCAATCCCTTTCATTTACTCTATTATCTATGGCACTAGTGGCTGCTGCGAGAGAGGACGACGACTGAATGCATTTGAAATGAGTAACTATGGTTATATAGGCTCGCCTGAGCATGCGCAACAGATATGCCCGCGTAACCCCGGGGGAATTAACTTTGTCTGACCCCTCGGCTTAAACTCCAAAAAAATTGAGTCTGGCCCCGCGAGACTAATATTAGAGTACTTGAAAGGGATAGGAAACTTCCGTTGCGTGGGTGGATTATTCCATTGAGATTATTAGGTTGCCTAGCAACTTAAGCTAGTTACCCCTGGCCAGACTTGCTCTCTCCATCTCTGCAGCACTGATTCTCACCTATAGCACTCGCACAGTAGTGATTGCAGTGTCATATAATACTTCAAAGTAATCAGCTGGTAGACCACTATCATGCTATAGCCAAATATAACAAGATTTAGGCTCTTCTATTGCATTTATTAACGATTAAAAGTTAAAAAAGTACTAGTTTGTTCTTTGGTCCCCATTATCTCAAAAGCAATATTATAAATGAAAGATTTAAAGCAAGCCCCTATTAAAGAATTCTTTTCTTTAGGTCTTCCAACTTTAATAATTCCAAAAGCTTGTTTTCTCGACATTTTATGCTCAAAAACAAGTAAATTTTCCGTATTTAGTTGGGTACCATTATCTCACTGCTTGAACGAGTAATGACTAAAGAGACTTAAGATACAGAATCTAGATGAGTTATTCTGGGTCTTCCGCCCATTATCTTGTCTTTGCAAAGCATACTTTTGCTATTACAAGGGACGAATTAAGGCCTAGTCAGGCTAGTCGCCCATAGAGCTGTTGCACGGAAGTAATCAACGGGAGGTGTGGCTAAAATTGAGCTAAATTGTCCGCCATGTTGGGTGGCAAGAAGGCAAAGAATGAATGGGGGAATGGAGGGAAAAAATTAAATAAATTCTGCAGTTGACATTCCAGGCTAATGCAAGTTAGGAGATGAAGATATTGAGTGAAGAAGTCTCTATAATATTCTGCAGTGAAGTATGATATCTCTTTGATGAAAAATAGCAATTTGTTTCCATTCTTCCATTCGTTGCGTGTACATTCTTGCCACTCAAGATGGCCGACAGGAAGCCTCGCCTACCCCGTTAATTATATCCGTGCAACAGCTCTATTGTGGCGATGGAAAATAACAGCTAGAGTATACTAGTATCCGGATTCCTCCGCTTTCTAGGGTAAATAGCTTGATTTCCCGGGAACGGAAGTTTCCTATCCCTTTCATTTACTCTAATATCTATGGGTTTACCTTGTTCTAAAAATAGTAAACTCATTAAGCTATGCAGGCTACAGTGATTTTAATTAAATGCGTGGGTGTTTCGCGCTCCTACCCGGTACCCTTCCCTTTTTCTTTCATGATATGCTGAGTCATGCTATTACTGTATACAGTATTGTTGTTTGGGCTGCCTGGTTAACTTTAAAGATGGAGAAACGTAAAGTTCGATCTGAAGTGAAACCCAATAGTACCTCTTCTGCCATTAAGAAGACAGAGTCTGTTATTAAGGCAATATATCTAGGCCTAAAGCAGTTTGACTGGAAGGCCAAGGTGGGGTCGGGGCGGCGTGAGCCGCGTGACGAGACAAACCATTGGAAAGAACCATGGAAGCATAGATGGAAGGCCGCAAAGTCTACTCTTGTCTCCTTGGTTTTTGTGGTATCTGTCAGGCCAGAGCTGGAAGTATCATGCTATTTGAGAAAAAAAATTGATAATTCAACTGATATGACCAGGAGAAAGAAACAGGCACAAGTAGCAATTTCGAAAAAAAATTCTGAAAATAATCCAGATAGCCAAAGAAAGAAAGAAACAAATAAGTGGCATAAGGAGCCAATTATGCAAAGTTGGAGAAAAAATTTTGAAAATAATTCAACTAATAAATATATGAGAAAGAAACAAGCTTTTGAGGCAGAAGTAGAAAACATTTCTGAAAATAACCCAACTACTACTAAGGATAAAAGAAAGACTCCAGTTATATCCCAAAGTGATGGCATTACTGCAGATGAGCTTAAATCGTTTCAAAAGGCTTCAAAAATTGTAGACAGGATAAAATTAAGAAATGGCAATGTGACAGCTGATAGCAATCCTCAGACAGATGGATTGGCAACAAAGGATAAAGGGAAAAAAGCAAATAATCATTCTATAAAATCTTTGGGTGAAGTTTCTAGCATAGAAGTAGAAGTTTTGAATGATACTTTAAACGTATATCAAGAACATGAACATGAATTGATCAATAAACGAATCAACTTACAAAATTTGGAAGTACTATTAGTCCATTATTATACAAGGGAAGGTGATGACTTGTATGTTAAGCCATTTTCTGAGATGCCTAGCCGTGGTAGATTGGATGCATCAGTGAAACGATTATTTACTAAATTAGACACATCAGGGGATTTTTTGTTTCAACAGTTAAGTCAACAACAGCTGCAAATTCAGTTTTATGACCAACGTGCATCTACTAGTTTTGAATTTGAGGTAAATAATTTAAGTTTACCATTTAAGTTTACCATTTCATGCATATCACATTTGTCTTTTGTAGTCATACCAATTGCAAATATCAACATCAACAGCAACATGGAATTATTGGACTATTGTTCTCCATAGTCAGGTGATTAAATATTCATATACTGTTAATTGTGTACATAGATGACCCAGAGTATAACAAAAGCTATGAATTTCATTAATTTTTATTAGTGATGGGCGATTCCAGAAATTTGCATTCGATTCCGATTCTGAATACTTTTGAGACTGGAATCGATGGAATCGAATACCGATTCCGAGTATTACATCTGTGCATGCGCAAAGCCACATGGTATCATTACAGCAATAAAAATGCAATAATGATGAATAATTGATGTATTAACTACTGAATAATTAACTATTATTAATATTAAAGGGTGTGGCTGGGTGTGATTTGATTCGGAATCGTTTCAAACGATTCCTACTTCTCTTTCGATACGAGTACGATTTCATTTGGAATCGAAGAATCGAATACTCCGGACTCGGAATCGCCCATCACTAATTTTTATATCTCCCCACATGTCATAATTGGCTGCCATTTTGCTTGGCAAGTTTGTTATGGAAGTCAATGGAGGCACAAAGAAACTGTCTCACTTACCTGCTATAGCTCTATTAAAAGCTAAAAAGTGCTTTGGATAAGAAAGAATAGCTGCCTTTAAGATTCTCCTGTAAAAGATTTAGTCCAATTTGCTCCAAAATTCGTAATACAGGTTTTTATGTTGGACAGTTTTTCATTCAAAGTTGCAAACCAAAATGGTGGCCAGATTTCATTTAATCTTAAACTACCACCATAATAATCTTCCCACACAAGCAGTTCTCATTCTGTGTGGTCTATTGATGACTCATTGTTTCTTAATGTGTCAGCAGTTGCATGAATACATTTTAAGTTAGACATGCAATATAATGCTATGTTAGTGTACTGTGAGTGATTTGACCCTTTGGCACGTGGTTTACACTAGAGTAGAACCAATTTTAACTCCTTGCAGTGTCAAAGTAATTCCCAGTATAATATTTTAAATCCCCAGCGTAATATTTTAAATCCACCTTTATCCTAATGTTTTAATCTGATGCAGTGGATGCATATACTGTAGTTCATGATATTCGCGGCTGCAATTATTCTTGGTCATAAAAAATTCAATTAAAAACCATGGAAACTGAAATGCTATTTTAGTTGAAAACGGTATGTTATTGAAGCTAAGAACCTTGCTGCAGTGTTCTTGAATTGTTCTTGTGTTACTAATCCTTGTCTCTTTGGAGCTACTTTTACTAGTTCTTTTCAGAACTACTGTCTCTCCATTATCTTGACACTCTCCACCTATTCTAGTTAGTGTTAATTGATTTGGGTGTGGTTTATTATTACCAGCATGCGGACCGGCAACAATCTGCAGCAAAGAGCTCTGAGGCAGAGGTCCATACAAGAAGTTAACAGATAGAAAATGAGTCGCTATTGCTGAATGGCTCCACTAAAGCTGCTAGAGAATAGATGAATAGCTGAACACTTAATTGAATTTTTTTATTGCTGCGAATAATTGCAGCTGTGAATATATCCCGACCTACAGGTATTCTATTGATTGGTAATTTTCATGGGACATTATAAATAAGAATGTAAAACTTTAAGGCCTAGCTACACTCATGAAGATTAGGTTATTTAACTTTAAAACTAGTTAGATGAATGACCCGTACTGATAAACTCACTTCATCACTAAGAGCTCTGCCCAAGAAACTAATCTTGGGTGTGGTGTGATCACAATGAAATAAAATGGCAGCTATCAGCTTATTTGCAGCAAATGGCCAGCAATATAATACCACTAAATTATTGTTCAAAGACTTTTCTAGCAGCAAGAAAGGTTGGGAAACACTAGTTCTGCCATGCCTATTTGCAATTGACCAATCAGATTGCCACATTGGAGGCAAGTAAAATCACTTATATTACCTCACAGATGTCTGGGAACAATGTATAAAACTCCCCGAACCGGTTTTTTAAAATTATTTACCTCGAAGCACAGTAGCCAAGTGTCTTGAGGTATTACTTGCCAAAGTAAGCAACCTTTTCACATAGAAAGAAAGCTATAAAGGAATAGAGACCAAGGTAGAGACTTCATGTTCAATTTAGCTATGTGCTTGTTTTGAAAGAGGCGTGTTTTGAGCGTGTTTCTACTACTTACACATGGAGCGCAAGTGAAGAAGATACTGCTGCTTGTTTCATGAGAAGAGTCGGAAGACAGTGAAGAGAAGAGTCCCCTTCGCTTTTATAAACCTTTGCTAGTGAAGGAAAGTGTCTTTAGCTATAGATAATGGCATGGTAGAAGCCTGTTATGCACCTCAGTCTTGGTTGCTGTGGGTTTATTTTACCTCAGGACTGCATCCCTCGGTAAAATACAGTATACATGCAGACGATACATTTTTGTGTAAGGATCATTTATGGCTTCACTTCCTGTTACATCACTGTTATAATTTTTAATTCATTGTCAATTTGGATATGAATATCATTATACTCATTCAAAATTTGAAACACTATGTGCATAGTTGTAGGCTCTTAATTAGATGAAATCTGGAAGATCACATCAACTTTGAGGGGAAATTTACCTGAACCAGCACCACAGGGCCATAACATTGTATTAAGCAAAGGTAAGTACAGTCCCAGACCCTTTGGCAAAAGCCCAGCACCCCTGTGAATGATTTGCACAAAAATCAAAGTTGCTTCATGGCTAAAAAGTAAAAATGGTGGCTGCGCAAGTAGAGGTGTATCTCCTAAACAGAAGCACAGATGAAGTTTATTCTTGGTAGTAGCAAAGAGGAGAGCTGATTCTATCTGTGTATGGCAAAATTAGAAGAACAGCTCTTGTGAATCAAGGATTTCAGGTCACATAATTATGACTAAGTTTACAGCACTCTTTTGATAGCTATGTTGGCTCCATTAAGATTTAAACTAGCAGGACATGTAGACTACATCTTCCTAAGTCTATGGAAAGACCGGGTAGTCTGTGAATGATTTGCACAAAAATCAAAGTCAAACAATTTTTATTAAACAAAAAAATTTCACGGCAATATCTTTGCTTAAACTTTGAGTATGAAAACCAAACTTGTTTCTTTATGACAAGCGACTTCTCTCTTAATGGTGCTAGTTACAGCACTGTTAAAGTACCTATGCAAGAAAAATAAGTAAAATAGTATGGCTATCAGTTCTGACATGATGGAAACCATACAATTTCCTATACTTCCGGTGTTTAGAGAAGTGTACCGTCTGCATGTATACTGATAAATCCCATAGCAACCTCGACCTCGGTGTATAACCTATACATATACTATCTTTTACATTTAAGTTTTTGAATGCTATGAGAAAGCTACATGCATTGCCTAATTGTACAGTGACTGTTTGAAAAATACAAAATGACATAATGATTTTCATAGAAGCCAGTTTGGGTGGGTGATGCGATCACATGTGCTTATTATATAGGTGGTAGCCTATATATAGGATTGAGGTTGGTTTTTCAAGATGGTGGCTGTTTTAGTGATTTTCAAACACTTTTAACTCTTTTATCTTGCGTTGTACAGCCTTATAAATGGCTTAGATGAGCTCTCCTTCACTGAGCGATTCTCCTGGTACCTTTAGAGTGGACTGTAATGTAGTGGGAGCATTTCTGGAGATTAGGCCCAAATTCAAATTTCTGCAAAATTCTTCAGACTTTTTCTTCTTTCATCTTCTATCAACACAGAAATTTTTTAAGCCAGGAAAGCAATTAAGTTGGCTTTTACATCATTCCTTTGTTCTTGGGTCAAGGACTGGACAAGTGCTTTTAAAAAGAAGCAAAGACAGAGAACAAAATGAAGGCAAAATTTAGCTGCAAACACTGCATGGCTTTGTGGTTTGATGCTATTTTAATTTATGTGCACGTGATCAGCATGAATATGATTAACCTGAATGGAAACAAGTGAATAAAAAACATTAAAAATGGAAAAGTAGTAGGATTGAATTGGAAAAAAGTAAAGAAACAAGAGGTAATTGCAAGCTGGTGTAGTAAAAAATCCTATTCCACTGCATGAAGAACTTATAATCCAAAGCATTCGGCAGTTGTAGTTATCCCAGCACACAGACTGCTACATGATAACACTATAAAACCTTTATCTTCATGCAGTAGTGTAGGATTTTTTACCACACCACTTTGCAAGTAGCCTCTTGTTTCTTTACTTTTTCCAATTCGATCATACTACTTTTCCATTTTTAATGTTTTTTATTTACTTGTGTAAACTATGACATCATAAAATGTCATTGGGTTTATAGAGAGAACCTGGTTCTCAGGGCTCCCAAAAGCTGAAGAACCCAAGATTTTACAGATTTTGATGGACTTTGGTGAATAAGAACCTGTGAAAGTTTCATCTTTAATCCTTATCTCACATTCCTATAAAAATTCATTTCAGTTTTTCTTGTCCCAAACTCAACTGGTACATGTAGATGTATCTTCATTGCTATAGGCAAGATGACTTCAATTGCTCAGTGCAGAGATTCTTAAGTGATGAAGTACTGTATAGCCAAAATTTTTTGGAGGAAATTAAATTTGGAGAATTTGGTGCTTTGATACCATATAGCTTGAAATTTTCGTGGAATGTAAATTTCGTGGTTTTCGTGGTTATGCGCTGCTCACGAAATTTAAACCCATGAAATCATTGAAGTGCCATCCCCTTACAGGCTATGTAAACTGTCAACTACGAAAATTAAACCACGAATTGCCCCACTAGGAGCAAACCACGAAAATATCGACCCACGAAAATATCAAGCTATACAGTAGCCATTTGCCAAAATAAAATCTGCCATTTTGATCCATTACATTGTATATGTTCAAATTTTCAAGTGTTTAAAATTTCGTTTTTTCAATGAAATGTGCTCAAAAGTTAATATTTGTTTGAGTTAATTTTTGTGTTCTGGCCATAGTCTACATACAATAGAATGGCATTAGAGGTGGTTTAAATTTTGTGGATTTAAGGTGAGCACGAAAATAACAAAATTTAATGCACCTTGAAAATTAAAACACGTATGGTACGCAAGCTCAATGGCATGTGGCCACTAATTTGCCAAATTGAAATTTCAGTGCCAAATTTAACCCCCTTCAAAGTTTCCCTCTATGTGGTAAATAGAGAAATCTCCTGCATTTAGGCATGTACTTGCTCATAGATCATACAGCACATACATTATAGACCCTATAGCATGCTAACTTCTAGAAGTAATTATAGGTATTGTACACGTATATGAGACACTATTCATAATCTTCCGTGCCCTATCTGCATTCTTTAATGAAAAAATTCACAATTATTCTGCCAGACGGCAAAACCAGGCAAAACCAATGGATAGGAGGCCAAAAGCAGCCTTTGTGGACAATTCGCTTCAAGTGCAATGAAGCTTTTTCTCAGAATACATTTTGGGCTTTATTCTTCACTGTTACTGGCATTTATTGCCATTTTGCCACGAAGGCCTCTTGTTCATGTTTCCCCATAGTAGCTACACTGTATCTTCCCATCCAAATCATGAGTGTGGGTGGATATTGTTGCAATAATTACTTGCAGAAGTTTGTATCCTATAGGGTCTATGCATGTAATTTATGATACAGCACATGATCTATGGCTTGCTTAGGCTCGCCCCTTAATGTTTTACATTCTTTTTTATTATATTGCACATGAAATGCAGTATCCTTAGGAATTTTTTTCACTATTACCATATAGACCCCCTAGGTGCTAAGACAATTTTCAATGAATCATTTACAGTAGCCACCCACAATTAAAATTACTGATTGCAAGAAGCTCTCCACATCAAAGGCAGATCAAAGCCCAAGATGCCAAAATAAAGCATAGCAACAAAACTATGTTGCAACAAGAGTTACCTGGTCTATATGATATAGTCTAGCCTCTAAACTTTCCATAAATGCTGCTTGTGAGCCTGTAGTACCTTAGCACTCAGAAAAATGGCCAGGCAGTGTCACCGCCTATGATCTTTTGATCTTGCTGTCATTAATTTACATCGTGGGTGGATACCGTCTATGAAAAAATTATTTATTATGAATGAATATCATTATTGTAATCATATTCATTGAAAATAGTCTTAGCGCCTAGGTTAATATTTTGGTTAATGTTGTGGTTAATTAACCGGCTATAGCCGGTTAATTTTGTGAAAAAAATTGTGAATCCTTAAGAATAAATTGGTTTGCGGATTAAATTTTGCAGTTTTGACAGTTATTGTAGCAAAATGTACTGTGGTCATGCATGAATTTGATTATTTTGTGGACTTAAATTTTGCATTTTTATTCATTTGCAAAATTTAATTCCCTGCAATTATTTCCAGGTGTACAGTATACCATTGTTGTAGATTGTAATGACAGTTAATTCTATTTCCATAAAAATATTTGACCATGTAAATATGGAATTCTATTGTAATTATAGTTTACTTATTTACTATAGATTGAAATTGGATATTTTAATGGAATTCCCACATGCTCCTATTTTTTGATGCTCAATAATCATCAAAACTCAAGTACTAATTGCCAATTAATTACAGCTCTTCAGTCTTCTAGTGAAATTGATGGTGTGATACCATTTATAGTAACTGGTGATCATCCTACCAAGGGCGTCAGTAAAAAGTCTAAAAGATCTGAAGATACTTTGCCTGATAATGGAGAAGATTTGACAGCTCCTACATGTCCTTCTAATTCTGATGATCTATTCAGACAAGGCATTCAGTTTGATCACATATCATCTGATCATAGTACCTTACCAACTCAGCAATCTCAAGCTACTCATGAAGCCGATGCACTTGTACATGTACCTGTATCTAATCCACCAGATGTTAAAACCCTGGAAACATCATCATTAGATGTTTCTTACAAAAGTGATCCTTCTCATCAGATTATTATTCAAGATACCAGTATGTTAGCATCAGTAGATAAATTAATATTCAATATTGATGCAAATTCTGAGTTGGGCAACATTCTTTTTCATTCTCAAAAGCAATTGGAGGCCATGAATTATGAAGAAATGAAATATATGCTTAGCCAGCATGCGACCTCTTTAGCTAAAAGTTTTGATGAGTCTGCGGCTGTCTTGTTTGCAGAGGGCCTTGCTTATTTTATGCTGAAAGAATATGAAGAGTCCTTTGAAAAGTTTAGAGAAGGAGAAGGTATCCTTCAGAAATTTGTTCGCTCAGAAAATTCTTATTATTCTGATGAGTTAATAGTGTTCCTCAAATATATGGGAGATGCAGAGAGCAGTCAAGGGCACTACAAATCAGCTCCAGAATATTATGAGAGAGCCATTGCTTTCCATCATGGTCGATCATCACAATTGGAAGAATTTTTTAATCTAGAGAGTACAACCCTTTCTGCCATGCTATCAAAACTTGCTCTGTCTCTTCGTAATGATGATCGTGTTGTTGATTCTGAGAAAAGATACAAACAAGCCATGTCTTGTCCTGATGCCACTCCTTCAGATATTATAATCGCTCGCACTGGTTTAGGTAATCTCTTACACAGTCTTGGTAGCAATGAAAAAGCTGTCCCGGAATATCTTGCTGCTATAGACATTGCTGAAGAGGAAAAGGATTACCTCTCTCTTGCTTGGGCCCATGGTAACCTAGGCAACACGTACCTAAGCTTAGGGAAGAGGGAAAAGGGTCTTAGCCACCTCCAGACCTCTCTTGATCTCACTCTTGAGCATGATTTTGATCCTTCCTCTATTAGTCGTGCTCTCAATAACCTTGGTACTGCCTATCAGTCTTTGAATGAGCTGGATAAAGCTGAGTTATATTTTGATCAAGCTCTCTCTCAAGCTATTTATGCTAGTGATGTTGTGGGCCAAGCCAGAGCTTATGGCAACATTGGTAATGTTTATATGTTGCTTAAAGATTTCTTAAAAGCTATTCCACACTACACTGAAGTCCTGAGGCTCAGCAGGGACAGGTCTACTGTGTATGTAGCATATCATAATCGTGGCTGTGCTTTATTTGAGTTAGCTGAAAAGAAGAAAGGTGAGCAATACCAATTCACTAAAAGAGGTGAGTTCCAGTTTATTGCTATTGGGCCTGATACAGGGGATATGGATTACAAGCACCAGCCAGATGAAGAACTGGATGATCATACTACTGAGTTGTACCAGCAGTCGCTGAAGGATCTCAGAAAAGTCATCAAGAATGTGGAATCAGCCTTTTCTAATTCAAGTTCCAGCACTATTGGTTTGGATCTGTATCTCTCTTTGTTTCACATCAACGCCAAGACCTTCCAAAGAGCTCAAGACTGTGCCTTTAACCTCAGGGACCATTATCAGTCACTCACTATTGCTGAGCAAGTCAGAGCCCGTACGCTTGGTGAGTTACTCCTCAAGCGCAAATCACATCAACTGCCTACTGCATTCAGCACTCCTCTTAATATTGATGCAATCAAACTTGCAGTTGAATTACTACCTGATCCTTATACTCCTGTGGTTGTACTCTCTTACACTGGCACTAGGCTACTGGTATGGGTACTAGTATTTGATGGTAAGACAGTGTCAGTTAATTCCTTTGAGCAGGAACCAGATGAGGAGCTATTTGGGAAGCAACTTGATATGTATCTTCGATATGAGCTTGCTGATGACCTCACTGGTAACATTGACCTTTATGGAGAGGAGGAAGAAAAAGAAGTTGAAGTTGAAATTGAAGAGGAAGGAGAGAAGACTAATGAAGAGAAGGAGATTGAAAGTGACGAGGAAAAGAAGCAAGAAAGCGATGAAGAGGAGAAAAAGGAAGTTGCTGAAAAATATAGCGACAACATGGATTCAAACAAGTTAGATGATATTGAAATTCTAACAAAAGCAACAGAGCCAGTAAAAAAAGAAAAAGGGGACAAAAGGAGTAGTCCTGCTAGAAAAAGAAAAATCCTATCTGATCTTTACAAGATGATAGCTAAGCCATTGGAAGCTATACTCAAGGCAGTTATACCAGAGCCTATCCTTCACTCAAAAGGTCCTCACAAGCTGATCTTAATCCCTGACAATAGCACCAAAATGATTCCATTCAATGCTCTACTAAATGAGGAAGGAGGAGTTTATTTTGGCGATAAACATACACTACAGTTTTTCCCTTCTCTCCTTTGTCTGGGTATAATGTCACAAGCTCCTCCTACAGTGATACACATCAATGGAAACACAACTGGTGATGTCCTCATTGTTGGTGATCCATCCACACCAGCTTTCAAGTTTGAAGGAGAGGATTGGACTCCAGGACCTTTGCCACACGCTAAGAAAGAAGCAGAATGGGTTGGGCATTATATGGGAACACCACCATTGCTTGGGGGAGAGCCAACAAAAGATGTAGTGTTATCAAAACTGAGCCAAGCAAAATTGATTCATTTAGCCACACATGGCTCAGCTACTTATGGGTTTGTTTTATTAGCTGGTCATTGTTATGATAGGCAAACAACGCTCACATCATCTCTTCGCTATCATGAAGATGAGAAGAAGCTGTTGCTTTATGCAAGTGAAATTGAGTCTCTTCATTTACAGTCTTGCCTTGTAATACTCAGTTCTTGTGATTCTGGCCGGGGGAAGTTCAAGGGAGACGAGATACAAGGAATGTCTCGCTCTTTTCTATTAGCAGGAGCAGCTGCTGTGATGACATCATTATGGAAGGTCCCCGATCAATCTGCATCCTACTTCATGCAGTATTTCTATCGTTATCTTCTTGATGGTCACACCAGTAGTGTATCACTTCAGAAGTCGATTCAAAGCATTCGCTCTATTCACCATTTTTCTCAAGTCATACACTGGGGAGGCTATCAGCTAACAGGAAGTGATGTCAGGATTGTGGTTGAAGTGTCTGATCAGGATAAAATGGTATTTAAAGCTTTGGGTTGTCCTGGAGGTGTCTCTCCGTTTCCTCGCCTTGAACTACTACAACAGTTGGAGAATAATTTGCTTTCATCTACTGAAAAGAATGTACAAGTGAGTTATTATAAGTCTTATTTACACTTTTGATTTTTAATATTTTTTAGATAATTTATGGTCCTTGTGGTACTGATCCTGCTGAAACTGTTAAAGATTTCATTGCAAAGCATCACTCTTCCTATCAATTTACCTACTGGTGTAGTGCTTACCACCCTGTTGTCATGAATGATGTGATTAAGATCATGGAAAAGGTAAACTATGCATGTAGTAATATAATATTTACTATTTTTATAATTATGCAGGTTGTTTGTGATTATGGTGATCACCAGTCATCAATGTTACTGGTTGTTGATAGTGCTACTGTTGATAATGTTGCTGATCTCATTCCTCTATCTCGTTGTGAAAATATTCAAATAATATTAGTGGCTCAATCGATTTCAGATTACAAGGAAATAGCCAGAGAAGTGGATATTAAACTCAAGATAGGTGTAAGCTCATTGCCAGCTGTTAAACCTCTCACTGAACTTGAGTGTGCACAAAGGATAGTGTACTCATTAGTTAAAAATGAAGAAAATGATATCCATTGCTATAATACTAAAGATATTAATAGTCTTGCTTCTTTGTGCTCTGGGTCTCCATCGGTTGTGAAAATGGCAGAGCAAGTTGCTGCAGCAAACAAAGCATTGAAAATAAATGAGTATGAAGAAGATGCATGCATGTCTATTCTGGATGTAGAGTTAAAATCTTGCCATGATGATTTAATAAAAGTGTCTTCAAAGAAAAAAGATTATACATCATCGTTACAAGTATCGTTAGTCATTAAAAAATTGTCATTGTCTCATAAAAATCGAGCTTTATTAAATTGTTTATCAATTTTTCATGGAATACCAATTCCAAAATCCTTCGTAATTTCGTTGGAAAATGAAATAATGCAAACATCATCATCACCTACCAACTCTCCCCAAACTTCTGACTATTATTCTAATTCCTCCCCTGCTTCTTCTCTTTCCTTATCCTGTCCCTCTTCATCATGCCTTACTGGATTAAGTTGTATTGCTGAGCTAATTAAGTATCATTGTGTAGAACTGTATCCTAGTCCTGTAATAGTCCAGTCTTCTTCAACTAAGGTAGCTTCGTCCATTGACACAACATTATACACTGTTCCTGATATTATATCTGAATCTATATGGAGTGACATGGACACTGCTGATAAACTTTTTGCCATTGGTGTGGCATTTAGAATGATGAAAAAGAAAGCTCTGAGTTTATCTGTTTTTTCTCATGCGTTAGCAAGTCAATTGTTTGAAAGATTTGAAGACATTGGTAACAGTTTTTCTGATGCTGACTTAGATGATGATAATGTAAAGGAATGCTACATGAATTTACTTGCTTTAAAAGAACTTTTTAGTGATAACTAGTTTTTTATTTTATTATCTACTTGTATTATAGCTGCAGTGAGCATGAAAATAATAATTATTATTGTTATCCATAGTTTAATATTGTTTAATGTTATCATATGGGTGGAGCTCCAGGCTGGCTCCGCCTGTTTTTGAAAATGGCGGCCTATTGAATGTTATCACAACTAGAGTGACAGTAAAAGATGACTCGTAAGTCAGTGAAGAGTAATGATGGGACATCACAGTCAGAGACTAGAGACTACATGAGACTGAAGACACTAACTGAAGGTACCACACTCTGTTTATAATGACTCGTGTCAGTATGTCACCTCCCACCCTCTCTCTCTCTCTCAGAATTCATCAAGAGTGGCTGTAGTGATTATGATGAAGGACTGGATGATGTCCTTATTGATATATCAAAAACTGGAATAGTTAGGTAAAGAGAAAGACACACCATTCTTTATCTCTCCTTGTCTTTCTCTTAGGATGCCATGGAAGCTATTAAAACCTCTCATGCTGTACAAAATGGACAAAGTAAATCAATGTCACCTAAATAAATAATCTATCTTTCTTTCTCTCTTTTAGTGTTTAAGTGAATCGTTTGATTCTACTAAAACGGAACAAGATATGGAAAAGAAACTGAAAGAAATGATGGACACATTTGAAGGGTAGGAACATGTTATTATTTTTTAATATTATTTTATTTATTAATTTTTTATAAAAATTTAAGTATTTTAGTTTTCTTTCTCCCTCCAGTCCTCCGTTCACAGTACAAAGATTATGTGAGTTGTTACTGGATCCTCTCAGACACTACAAGAGGAAGGACAGATACATGAGAGCTTTAGAGAAGGTATTGTATGGGTGGAGCTAATGAGTGTGACTATTAATTAATTCCACATCTTATTAGAATCTTTTAGTAATCAGTACACAAGAACCAGACCTTGTATGGATGAAAGTACCAAAGTAATTAATTGTTATCATTGTTGTTTTTATTGTTGTTGTTGTTTTTGTTTAGATTATCACAGTTATTAGAGTTAAAGTCCAAGCCAACAATAGAAGACACTGCAGCAGTGATACAGCCCCCAGAGACAATGCTGGTAGTAAAGGAACCTGCAATGATGAGAAGAACTCCTCCTCTTAGGGACACGCCTCCAGGTAGCCCCGCCCAAATCCTTCAGCGACTATCACCTCGTTCTCTGACCCCTCCCCCTGATATTGACCAGAGTGCAAGGAATTTGGATGGTTTTGTCATGGACAGTCGACTATCCCACGAGCCTTCATACTTCTCTAGGAAACGTAGCTCTAGTTTCCGTAGCAACGGAAGTGGGAGTGTCAGTGGGCAAGAGGTGGAGCTTCAAGAGGCTGACTCTACAGTATCTGATCCTCTGATGTCACATGACCTCACGAATAAGAAAACGTGTTCTGACGAAAGCGAAGAGGCGATAATTATCGGAGAACTATTAAGTCGAGTTGGTGGTACGCCTAAAGGTCAGTCTTCCAAGCCGACAGAGGAGGTTGAGATTGATAAATCTAAAGAGGAGGAGGAGGAGGAAGGAGAAGGATCACATGAGAGTCACGTGACTGTAGGGTCAACCCCTCCAACTGAAACAGGTTAGTCATGAATGATCTGATTCTGATGTCATTGTGTTTGCATGTGTGTATTGTATTGCGTAATTGTACGTAAGAGTGAAATTGTATACTCCCTGCAGGTGGCTATGTGCCTAACCAGCACATTGCTGACACATTGGCCAATCCAAACTCGTACAATACAATATTGATGTCCTTATATGGTGTGTAGAAATTTTGAGCTGATTTCAACTTCAAATTCTTGAGTTATGGTCATTTTAAAAATTAGCCAATTTCTAAAATTCCTTGTACTATAACCGATGCTTTTTTCCGAAAAATGGCTCCGAAATCACCTCCAATTTTTATTACATTTTCTGATTCATATTGATGTCCTTATGCTATGTAGAAAGTTTGAGCTAATTCCGACAAGAAATTTTCAAGTTATGGCCATCTAAAGAAATTGGCCAATTTTCGAAAATATCCCTGTACTATAGCCCATGGTTTTTTTCAAAAAATGGCTCCGAAATCACCCCAAATTTTTATTACATTTTCTGATACATATTGATGTACTTATGCTGTATAAAAAGTTTGAGCTGATTCCAACAAGAAATTTTTGAGTTATGGTGCTTTTTTCCAAAGAACACCTTGTACTATATACACATAACCAGGAGTGTCCATGATATGTAGCCCATGCTTTCCAATAAAGGATCTGTCTTTTACATGTACAATGTACACTGTACTTCCCTCTCTCTCACTCTCTCTTCTCTTTACTATTCTCTCTCAAGATGAAGGTCAGACTAGTCATTCGGTGGCTGAAGAAATGGAAGTTAACTAATGATCAATCACTCTCTCTCACTCTTTAGACTTTTTACTTCTCCTGTTAGATACTTCCACTCTCCCCTCTCTCTCTCTCTTTCTTATTTATCATTAATATTATTGATTAACTATGCACACGCATGCTATGCATAATACACATGCAATCTCTCTTCGTTTGATTCAAGTTATTATTATTATTATTATTATTATTATTATTATTATTATTGTACACACTTAAACTTTAGATTAAAAAACAGAAAAATAATAAAATGTGAAAGACAAGAGAAGAGAGGGAGGGTTAAATCCACGCAACTAAACTACCAAGAGAGAAGGAAATGAAAGAAAGGATTGAAAATTAAGACAATTTACAAGTCCACAATAAAGACACATTAATCACACCAGACTCTCACACCTCACATTACCAACAGAATGGTGGCGGTTGATCGGACCAATGGGGCCACTCGTTGGACTAAAACCATCAGGACCAGACCCTCTCCGATAATTAGGCGTAATAACATCACGAGGTCTATAAGCCAAGAAAGGCTGAACTGGTTTTGAGGGTGACACGGCTTGCAACCTTTGAACGTCCATCGAGTGATGGCGAGTGACTATTACTGGAGGGGAATTATGATACGGTGAGACTCCGCCCCTTCCTGTGGGCGGGGCACTATCGATAGATGTCGAAGAGTGAACCATTGTATGCTGGGGTGAACGACCCTCTCTCCTTCCTCTCCCTCTCTCGACCGAGAGATGATTGGCTGTGTGGGGTCGTCCTTCCATTATTGGTCTAAATACGTGATCAGTACCAACCAAAGGAGATTTCATCCTCTCTCTTCCTGCCCCATGTAGGTCACCACCGCTGAGTGATATCGTCATATTATTAGTGGATGCCGTTAAGTGTCTAATGGCAGAGGAATCAGAGCCTCGTCTAATCTCAGTCCCTGTTCCTGTCCTCTCTCTCCCTGTCCTTTGTCTGTAGATGTGCGAGTGAGAGTCAAGTGAACCACAACTGTCCGTCCGGCGGATCACGGTCTCCTCGTCCTCGTCATGATAGCAGGACTCCCTGAGGTTGAGGTGGGAGTGAAGAGCATTTTGACTTTTACTGGACATGAGTCCTTTCCTGTAGTGATGGAACACCTACAAAACATACGAGAAGAATTATAAAATACAGAAATATAGCATAATTAATTAAGAATATTCTTAATTCACATTATACTACTATAATTATTCTTGTTTATAGTAAGCATACAGAAATAGATTACATGGTCCTTGCCCTAATACTGGCTGTTTAGAGACTATGGAATGCAAATTGATAACAAATAGAGTTAAAAGAAGCAATGATTAGTGTGATATTCACAGCATGTGAGGCAACAAGGCGTAAACAGTACAACAATGAAACGTGAGGATTAGAGAGAAATGTGCAAATACAAGTTCTGCTTATCTCTTCATTCCTTCACTTAATCATTAGTCTACACTTTTCATTCTCTCATTGGCCCTCACTTTCTCTCTCTTCCTCTCCTTGCCATTATTATTATTATCATTATTATTATTATTATTGCTATTATTATTTATTTACTTTAATTCTTCTTGCAACAGTTAGTGATATGTCTTGATCTTGTTCTAGGAACAGTAATATTGCTTCTTCAGGATCATACACCTCAAACCCATTAACCTACAGAGAGATGAGAGAGGGAGAGTAAAAAGGGTATTATTGCATTACAGCAAATGGATTCTGTTTACAATGACATATATAATATGTATATATCAATATCATAGCATGATGATGATGAAACAGCTAAGGTTTACCAATCCATATACATGTACTAGAGCAACATAAGGTAGAGATTCTGCTTTTTCAACAGCTACTAATCTACAAGGCTGAGCTCTTTAATGTTGTACATTCTTTCTAGTAGTTTAGTAAATATGTAAGGTCAGAGCAAATAGAACCACATTCATGCATGGATTGTATTAGTAAATTGCATTGTGTGTGTGTGTTGTATTAATGGATGGTAAAAGGAATTGGCATGATAGTTATTACTATGATATTGTAACTGCTAGAATAACAAATAACTGTTGGCCACTCTCTCATCTTTCCTTCCACTCTCTTTGTCTCATTCCTTCTCTTTGATGTCTCTCATATGCCACCTCTCAGGAGAGGAGGGAGAGAGAGAGAAGAAAAGGGAGAAGGAGAGAGAAAGAGAGAGGGAGCAAGGAGAGATGTGTAAGAGGAGCTAGAGCTATTAGACTATAACTGAAGGTATAAGAATTAAGAAGGTGTAGAGGTTAGATGCATGTTTTTTTACGAAGTCCTAGGAATGTCTGCACCTGACCAAGCAATTATTAAAATATGCCAATCATGTTTTAATGGCTGAGAAATGAAATTAAAATAAATTACAATCGTGACCATTTAAAGATTATTAGTGAATGCCATATACTGCCACATTACCTTAAGAGATGAAAGTGCCAATTTAATGTAGCTACATAACTTGGTTTGCATTTGTACTTACCAATTGGGTAAATGTATTTGTAACGTACATGTACATGCATGTATTTGATGTACGTGTACATGTGTGAACTGAGGCTAAACAACAGTGCTATTTGTAGTCCATAATTAATTGTTTTTATAATAACAAATTAAACAAATAATTCTCATTTACAAAATATTTTTGGACAATAAACATGCTGTATCTATTTTTTATAGGAAAACAAAGCATAAATTATTACCATTACTCTATATTGACTTATTGTTTTTATTATTACTAGTGTTTACTGTCGTTATCTCCCAATAATTATTACTAAGTTGTGTAGATATAATAATATTTGTGGGTGTAATTGTATTTAGCTTGTATTGTTTGCATAAGTCAGGGTGTGAAGACTGTCTTTAGGGGTGTAGTTATTCTAACCTTCCGTATAATGTCTCCTTTCTTTACTCGGCCATCTTGTGCAGCAAGACCACTGGGAATTATCTGTTAATTAAAGAGAAAATGTTCTCATTCTACTTCTCTATTTTCTTTACCATAAGACACTTTCCCTCTCTCTCAAAAACTCTCTCTCTCTCTCTTCTTTTATCTTATGTAGTCTCTCCAGCTCTTCCCTGCTTTCTCTCATTTCTCTATTTCCTGCTTCTCTTCCTCTCCCTCTCTCTCTCTCTCTCGATCGCATGTTTCAGCATAACTTCATTAAATATTATAAATATTTCCCACAGACAAAGCAAATATTGTCCAAATAAGCTTGTAGTGTCTAAAGTATAGCAAGCAAAGTGAGGGAGGGTACTCATATGCGTGACAGTCTGTTTGTAAAATGTGGTCTGTTGCTTAGGGACACTAATGTAGCCCATTTATTTGTCTCTGTCTCTCCATTTTCTCACACCCAGTCAGCTATTGTTCTCCCTCCCCCCTCTCTCTCCCTTCTTTTTCTCCCTCTCTCTCCCTTTCCCCCTTCTCTCCCTCCTCTCTCTCTTTCCCCCTCTCTCTCCCTCCTCTCTCTTCCTTCTCTCCTTCCCTCCTTCTCTCCTTCCTTCCTTCTCTCCTTTTCTCATTCCTTCCTTTCCATACCTCACACACATACAGACTTCCTCCAGGATTAGTTGTATCATAGCCAAGTGTGATACCCAATTGATTGGTTCCGTTCTTCTGTAAGTATATCTCCTTTAATGGTGAAAAGTGAGAAAGATTGAGTGATGCATGTGACATTGTATACAGTTTAAGGTTAACGATTGGTATATCATATACTAATTAATGAACTCCTACACATTCTCTCTCTCTCACTATCCCACACACAGACTCACACAGCTATAGCACACATACACTCAGTCAATGCCCATAAGGTACTATCAAGATACACAGACGATGTTCAATTGTTCACACACACTTATAAACACCAGCTGTTCCTTGACATATCCGCTACCATACTGTAATTTAAGCACGATATGTCCATGTATAATAATATTACTATGGATTGCATTGTACTATTAAGGTGTGGCAAAGTATGTCTGCCTCCCTTCTCTCTTACCTCTACTTCATAACCTCCTTCTACTCGTACGTCACGTGATAAAGGCGATGCCTCTCCTTTGGATTCTTTCCTCTCGTTTGAACGAACATCAGTGCTTGTATGATCCACCTCGTGGAGCGGAGGAGGGCGGGAGTGCGGTTTAGAGAGAGACCGCGGCGAAGGTGAGAAACTGCTGTTACTGCTAGAGAGCCCACTGTCGGCACTGACCTTCTCTGGGAAATATCGTAAATGGTTTCTTGTCGGATCACTGCAAACAGTTGTTTGGGTCGGGGACTTGTAAGCTGCCTCTCCTCCTCCTCCTCCCCCTGGAATGAGGGTTAATCTATCGGATACTGGATCAGATCTTTTCCGTCTCAAGAGGTCCTTTCCTCCACCAACTGAACTGGATCTGTCTCTTAGGTTTAACTGGTGACGTAGAAACATGTTGTGCATGTTTCTGTCTGTTTCTCCTCCTCTCTCGTTCATCTCTCCGGTTGTCTGTGCCCACTCTTGTTCGGCTGATTTGATGTCCTCGTACACGTGATGGTGAAGGGGTCGACCGGACGACCGTAAGACCGTTAGGAGCACCTCAGGATTGTCTTTGATCCGTGAGATGGCGTCTTGCTGTGCCAACTGTGAGAGAGCAATGTTATCAACCTATGGAAGGAGAAGGGAAAGGGATTATGACATAGTTAAGAAATGAAAGGATATTTTAAGTGTTTGCTTGAGTAGTTTTTCTATTACCTGTAGTATCTTGTCTCCAGGTAAGAGGCCAGCCTCTGCAGCCACAGTCCCTGGATTTACTGTCTTTATAGAGAAATTGACAGCTCTCCCGTTTGAATTCTAAGAAAGAGGTTGAAGTAAAGTGAGATATAAAAGAAGGAGAGGGTTTTACCTTGGCTCCTGCTACCAGGACGAATCCAAGAGATTCTCCAGGCGTCCTTCTCTTCAAATGATAGGTGTGATATGCCTGGGAGGGTGGGAAGCAATATGAATAATATGGAGAAGACATTAGGTCGGTTATGAAGGCAGGGTAGAGCTCTGGCCAGCTATTTTAGGTAGGGGACTGAAGCTCAGGGAGACTAGAAAGAAGCGCTTTAAATTGAGAACCAATGACGCACTCTCTAGTCTCTTATCTTCTATTATTTGTTTACACAGGGAGCTATGACCTGTGCAGACTTATTCAACTAATGAGCGGATATATCAATACTATACTACTACTGACACTCTCGCTCTCTCTTCCCCCTCTCTGTCTCTCTTTACTACTCACCAGTCCACCTACACCAATATGGGGAACAGTGGAGCAGGAGGGAGATGGGTGGAGATGCTTTGGCTGTAGCTTTTCTCGTGTCTTGGCAGCCACGCTGGCCATTTCTACATAAGTGTCTTGCTTTTCTACAGACGAGGAGGAGCTGTTCTTTTCCCTTTTGCTGGAAAGAGCTGGTTTGCTTTGAGCAGAGCTGGTTGTGTTCTTTGGCTTGTGCTGACACTTTCTTTCGTGCCTTTGCTTCTCTGCAAGTGTTATCATAGTGGTGCAGCCTCCCCCGCCATTAGAATATTGACAGTAGACAGGGAGGGATTGTATGATCTTTTCCAACTTGTTCTCCTTTCGCAAGCTATCCATCTCCAATTCTCCACACCTTTTAGGACATATGCCGTAGTAGTCGTTCCAGAACTCTAGACAACGACAGCAAAAAGACTCCCCGCAACAAGAAGTGGACTTTGGAGTGTTGAGTATTTTTCCACAGATCTCACAGATGAAGGTCTGCGGGGGCGTAGATACAAACCACTCCAGTGGATAGCCGCTGTCCATTGTCTTTTGCCTTGCAATTCCACGGAAAGCTTTCGCCTGATGAACAGAGCTGCAGTTAAGCCCGGAGGTTAGATGTTGTAACTGAAGCATGTGGAAATAGTTTGAGGAATCTAATGAAAGTGAGAGGAAAGAGGAGGGGGCTATGTGTAGGAGATCTACAAGTGAAAGATGCCAAATTCTCCTTAAATCTGTTTGTGGTCAAGTATGTGCACACAAACAAAGATGCTCCACTCTTCTTGGTCTTCCCTCTCAAGCCTATAATGGACGGATTGTGCATACCAGAGGCTTCCTCGAAACTTTTAAGGCATAAAAACACATTCCCGGGTAATGAGCCGGGAAAAGTCATATCCACGTGGTTTGGTGCATGCGCAGTAAAGAGGGCGTTGCCGGGTCGGTCACTCCCGCTGTTTCCCGCCAAAAGATGGAGAATCCAGTAAGAATCTTCACTCTTTATCTCTTTTACTTTCCTTTTAGATATTTCAAAACTCTGATCTATTTGACACTGCTGAGTCTCCCTCACCCCCATCATCCCCGTTTCACTCTCATTCTAGTAGCAATCATTTGAATGATAGCACACAACTTAATGATAATGAAGAACAAGAAGGAGAGAGAAGAAGAATAGAAGCTAAAAGCGATGAGCCATCACCACCTCCTAAAAAGCGTCAAAGAAAAACAAGAGAGAAACAAGTTCGTACAATACTAGCCCCTCCCACTTTATGACACGCCCATTTTTAGGGATTGAGTAAGCTTGATATTAAAAAGATGCACAGTGAGAGCCAGCGATTGATAAGGGGTAGGCGTGTCACTTAATAACGACCTCAAATACCTTGTAACCATCTCTTGTGTAGAATCTGAAATTAAATTACCGCAATATAAGCCTAAACTAAAGACACTGGACTCCTTCATTTCAAAACTTAACAGAACCAAAGTATCACTGAGGTAAGAGAGAGGAGGAGGGGAAGGGAGAATTATGCTTTGTAATTCTTTAATAGAAAAGCTACTCCTAAACTTCCTCCTCCTCCTGAGATAACAGAATCAGAAGATAAAGAGAATATCCAATCAATTAAAACTACTAATGAACCAATTAAAACTACTAATGAGCCACAAATTAGGAGGACACCCTCTCCTCTTTCTCTCCCTCCTCCTTCAGATGATAACATAAAGGATGTGACTGATGTTGAGGCTCCACTCACTGCCCCTCCCATTAATGAAGCCCCTCCCACTAATACTGATGTGACTAAAGGTCTATTTAAGGAATCTCCTCCTGCTTTATCATCTCGTCAATCCTCTCTCTTCTCTTTTCTAAAGACTCCTTCAGAGAAATCTGAAAATATAGAGGAGCCCAAAACCACATCTCCCCCTGTTGCTCCCCCTCCTCCATTGCTTAGTTCAGCTGATAAGTGGGAAGAGATAAGTATCTCATTACCAGAACTAACACCAGTTCAAGAACTACAAAGAAAGTTTTATAGACAAATAAAACCAAGAAATAATAAGAAAAAGCCATCAGCAGAGGAGAATCAAGGTACATATGTGGTGGTTTTATGAGCTAATTTTGAGTATTTTATGTTTTTTTTCTTAAAGCTAATTTTGAGACTTTGAGAGCTGAGTTAAAGAAACAAGTAATGACAAAGAGAATGAAAGAGATACAAAAGATTGAGGAAATAATAAAACTTGAGGAGGAGGAGGAAGAGGAAGAAGAGGAGGCAGAATTTACTGACAGAGAAACAACTGAAGAAGAGGAAGAGGAGGAAGTAAGCAATTATAATAATAAATACCTGCTTTAGTTAGTTAACTATTGATAGTTATTGATTACTGGTTATTTAACTATTAATAATAGGAATACAGTGAGAGTGAAGTAGAAGATACGAGTGTTGTCGTGCATAAAACTGAAGTGGAAGACGATGATATATTGTTTGTCCCATTACGTAAAACAAGGCAATTAATAATCGATGATGATGATGATGACAACACTAATAATGATACCCTAGCAACATCATCAAGAGATTCCCATGAAAGTCTGGCAACTGCTGCTACTGCAACCAAAGGTGACATTGTAGAGGGAGAGTCACTGATGGATAAAGCTTCTATAGTTGAAGAGAAAGGAAGGGAAGAGGAGGAACCACCACTGGTGTATACCGAGCCATCAGATAGTAAGAAAGAAGTGTCATTATTATTATTCTTAAATGTTACTCTATTTCTATCAGGTTATGTATCTGATAAAGATGAAGATAGTGATGACAAATCAGTCAAAAATGATGACAGTATTACAGAAGATACTACAACACAGTTGCTGTTCACTGCTCCTGTCTCGCCAGAAGAAACCAATTCCAGTTATTATCCTAACTCTCTCCCACCTCATCAGCCTGAAAGCACAACAGCTTCTCTTCCTCCTATTTCAAGGGAGAACTCTAGCAATGTTCCTTTTGTGTTGAGACAAAACAGCACTTTATCATCAATATCTAGTGAAAAGGTACACGTATACATGTACATGTGTGTTTAGGGTTTCCCACAGGATTTTGGTATAGTGCTTCTGCATCTTGTCAGTAGATTTAAAGTTGCTAAAAATCAGGCCAAAGTCCCTTTAGCCAAATTTCTCCAAAAATGACTAGGACAGAATTCTTCATTTTTATCATATATTCTGATGCATATACGTGTTCTTATGTTGTGTAGAAAGTTTGAGCGAATTCCGATCAATATTGGATTTTTTACGAATTTTTGAAGTTGTTCCGAAATCGGGTCAAAGTCCCTGTACTATAGTACAGGGTCATTGGACAAATTTCACCAAAAATGACTAGGAGAGAATTCTTCATTTTTATCATTTATTCTGATGCATATACGTGTTCTTATGTTGTGTAGAAAGTTTGAGCGGATTCCAATCAAAATTGGATTTTTAACGAATTTTTGAAGTTGCTAAAAAAACCATGTGCATGCATCATGTACTATTGTAGTGCTTGTTAGCTGATGAAGCATATTATATATAGCTCACTTAGCATGCACCCTCTTATGAACATTCAGTCCTCTTTACTCATCTCTCTCTCCCTTCTAGGATATATTCAGAGGACTGGTGACCGAGAGGAAAGATGATGATGATGATGATGATAGGAGGGACAGTAGAGAGGAGAGCACAAGTACCAGACTAATGTCAATGGTAGATGAAGACACACAGTTCCTGGACTCAGAGGGGTTAGGATTATATTAATAATAATAATATTACACACACACACACACACACTCTCTCTCTCTCTCTCTCTCTCTCTTTCTCTAGATTTTTATGTGCTAAGAGGCAGCCTGAAGCTAAGTTGTCTTCATTTTCAGCCATTACCAGTATTATGAATAAGGACAGAGGAGGGAAGGGGACAGCTGGAGATCCTTCCTTCAGTCAGATTGAAGCAATGTGCTCGGGATCCTTCAGTAAAGGACTGGATGGTCCTGAAGGTACTCAGTGTAGCTTCAGTGACGTGGTCGGACTTTGTTCTGGGGTTTTTCCCTCCGCTCCCTCAACTACACAGATTGCAATGGCAACGAGCAGTGAAGACGAACAAGACAACGTGATGCTGACTTTGAAACGAAAATCAAAGTCCAAACAACCAGATCAAAGGTACATGTCATTGTGTCAAAATGTTACCATACCTGCTTTATGATTCTATCTAATTTTAGTGAAAGATTAAAAGATTTTGTCGAGAGTGAGGCAGAGTTATCCGGAACTGATATAGCGTCGGATGATGACGAGGAAGAAATGGGCGGAGACTCGTACGAGGAGGAGGAAGGGGCGGGGTCAGACGTGCCCCTATCAGAGGGAGAGTTATGGGATCAAGTAAATAAAGTTCACATGTAAGTATCACATTTATAAACGTACTGTGTCTTTAACATCACAATGACTTGTGTAGGAAGCAGTTAGCTGATGATGATAAAGCTGATTTAAGAAACATCAAAGACAGATTCTTATTAGGTATAATAAAGTAACAAATGTATTTTTAATGATAATAATAATTTTTCCACACGCAGAGGGTGATTTGTGTGAAGATGGTCTTTATCTCAAGAACGGGTTCTTTAGATCACGTCGTTTTGCTCCAAAGAGAACTGGCTCCGAAACCTCGCTTGACATGTTTTTAGAGACGGAGAGAGATTTTGAGTTAGGAGAAGGAGAAGAAGGAGATGACGACTCTCAAATTGAAGCAAAGAAGAGAAGAGATAGACTGGAGAGGGACGAATTTATTAGAAGAAGCCAGGTAAGGAAGATAGAGAAATCAAAAGCTAGTTGGAATTGGCTCAAGCAGTCATTTCCCTATATACATCTGATCTATAATGATGTCAATATTTACAATAGAAGTATAGAAATTTTGAGTGAATTCTGATTATTAGCTTTCGGAAAGAATAACATTTTAGTCAGTTGTTATTATATCATCTGTAGGCTAGATCAGATCTGCTAACATTCGATGACAACAGTCAGTCAATTTTAAATCTAATCAACGATAACTCATCATTGGCTGTGCCACAAAGTATGAATGACTGTTATTTTATTTTATCAATTCCCTTTCTCTTTCACTTCAGCTCCTGAAGTCAAAACTGCTGTAGAACCATTATCACTATCAGCTAAAGTAAGTCAATCGACACCAATACACACCATTAATCCTTTGATCACACACTCTCTTTCTCTCTCTCTCAGAGGTCGAGGTGTGGCTCATTTCTTAAGCACACTCCTTCAACTCTTCAAAGATTATCGTCCTACACAAATACTACACCAGCTGCTACTGGCGGACGCTCTTTTGTCTTCAGGAGTGGAGTGACAGCTGGAACACCTTCATCTACCAAAGTAATCATGTTTGAATTATTTTTAAATGTATTTTATGTCCTCTTTTTAATAGTCTAATGGTCCAAAAAGACCCAAATTACTGAAATCGATTTCTTTGCCACACGAAGACCGTGGGCCTGGAAGCAACAGTAACAGCATATTTGATGAACTTTAATCCTCAATCATTATTAATAGCTTTTATTTATTGTCATGAATGCTGCACAGGCATGACTGAAATTTATTATCATTGTTATTATTATTATTATTAGCAAAAAATCATGGCAAAATCATA